CCTTCATGTCTTGCAGACTCTGGATAAGGTTTTGTAGAGAACTCCCATCAAGCTCCAACTCCCCAATCCGACTCAAAGCTTCCACATACAGGTCTCTATACATTGTGGTCTAGATATAAAATATAAACAACTGACTACTTAAGCAGTAATCCTTTGTTATATAATGAGATCAGAGTTGAAAGCTTCCGTTTGAGGAATATTTTAAGCTGTGACATATGCGAAACTACTCTAATAGAGTCCAAAAATCTAAATATAGAGTAGAAAATGAGCATAACAGGTCCCCTTTAAACAAAATGTAGATGTCAACAGATACCTGACTGAGTTCGGTGTGGTCTGTCTGCACGAGTTTCTCCCGGAGGTCTGAAGGAGCAGGGCCTGCAAGCGGACGTCCTTGTGCCCTCGCTGCAGTCAGCTGTTGCACCAGGGCCTCAACCATCGTCATGCTAGACATTAACCTCTGTTCCAGCTCCTGTCTTGGGAGGGACTCCAAGCTGCCTGGAGGTAAACTGGAAAACCAATGAAAGAATACTGAGAGGCAAACAAAGAAAATACTAAAAGCAGATTTAGCTTCATCTATACTCACAACTGTTGAATAAATGACCAATTTACAATGGGCACTTACTTCCAGAGGAGCGGGTCAGTCATAGTGCAGGAATCAGCCACAGAGAATTCCCTCTTCCTCTCAAACAGGCCAGAAGTATTGAGGCTGTGGTCAACCAGTTTCACAGGACTACTGCCCACACAGACACTGTGAGACTTTACAGGAGCAGCTTTGGCTGGAGGGGCAGGAGGTGGAGCAGGAGCAGAGACAGCAGCAGGGCCCATCTTTCCAGACGCCATCATGAGGAACTCTGCCATTTGTCGAAGCTGCTGCTGAAACGGACCATCGGAAATCAGTGGGAAATTCAGCAGTGGTTTCTCAGCTTCAGTCTGAGGCTCTGCAGAGACTTTCTGTCCCAAATCCTTAACTGGCTCCCATAGTGGGCTCAGACCAGGATTCTGACCCAGGGCGGTGGAGTTTAACAGAGGATGAGGCATTGGGCTTTCCAGTTGCTCCGCCCACAACCTAGCACGGTCAGCATTAAGAGGAGCAAACAAGGTTTTCTCACCCTCAATAGCAGAGTCATCAGCTGCAAACTTGCCTTGAGCAGGATCCCCAAAAGTCTTTAAAAAAGACAGAGAAGCTCTCCTAACGGGACTAAACATTCCCAACTCCAAAGCTGAGGCAACCGAGGGACACTCCGACAGCGCTTTCAGTACATCAGTAAGGTTCTCTGCATGAGATTTTTCTGCAGAGTTACAAAGAGCAGGTGCATTTCCAGATGAGCCAATGGCACTGTCTTTTTCCCCACTGGATTCAGCGGGTCCTCTGGTGGAGTTCACTTCAGAGACATGCTCCTCTTGGTCTTGCTGTTGCACTTCCACACCTGAAGGGCTCTCTGCTGAACCTGCAAGTTGACTGCAGTCAGAAATCTGAGTATTCTGAACCACGAGAGGCAATGCACTGTCAGCAGGATTCACGGTACAGTTAAGCATTTCTTGCCCTTTGCATTTTACAGTTTCAGTATCCAAAGCTTTTAAAGATCCATTAGCCACCAGAGATCTGCTAACAGCTGATGGGTCAGTAGCTACCACAGCTTCACCATTGTTCTGTTGGCTGTTAGCATCTTCAAAGGCATCTTGACAATAATCATGTGTGATGGAAGTGAACAGATAGTTTTCACTGAGGGGACAGATTACAATCTGGTCCTCATGCAGAAGGGATGTCTTCTTCTTGGGAAATTGGGCCTCATCTAATTTTTCATCTTCAGCTGGAATACAACAATCAGCTGTGACACCACCTTGGCTCCCAGCCTGGCTATCAGATACCACTGGGCTACCACTGTAGTGTCTGACCATTACATCCTCAGTGCCGTCTGCCAATGCTTCCTGGGTAGTCAAAAGGCTGTCACATGGAGCTGATGAATGAGTCTGAACATTACAGTATGGATGATCAAACTGACCAACTGTATTATCATTTTGTAAATCACAGTCACCAGCTATTTCAGTTGAATCTATGGCATAGCCATGTGTCTCACTGCTGCTAACAGAATGGTCGGCTGGTAGAACAACGGACTCTTCTCTTGGAATTTCAATCTCTCCTCCAGTGCAGTCCAGTGATTTAAAGGACAGTCCATTAGCACGTTTTTCTGAACCACGTGTTGTCTCAGATAAAGCCTTAATGACAGGATCAACACCACCATCATGGCTACAGTATGGATGATCAGCATGTTCCTCTTGACACTGCTGGTCAAAGTCACCGAAGCAGTTGGTCAAATTTATACTGTCATACTCTAGAGGAGCACCAAGCTCTTCCTTGGGCAGAGGAATGGTTTCGTTGTGTAATCTGGTGGCATCTGAAACTTCCACCTCACCTCCATCACAAAGGAAGGATTTCCAAGTGAGATCTGCCTTTCCACTGCAGTCACTCTGAAAAGCTGTTGATTCTTCTGTGGCTTGTTTGTTATCCAGATCACAAGAAGCCGGTGTAGTGCTGTCAGTTTCACAGGGAAGTGCTGCGCTGATGTTAACACAGTAAGTGTCACTCTTCTCAAGAACATGATAGGGATGTTCGATGTGATCAGAGCATGACTCCATTACCACACTGTCAGAGATGATGCCATCTTCAGATTCAGTGTTAGATGTACCCTGGTCCGTAGATAAAATAATACTCTCCTCTGCATGCAGTAAAGAGCCTAATATCTCAACTTCACCACCAGCACAAGTGAAGGATTTAAATGTTATATCTGAAAGTCCACAAGCAATCTGAGTAGTTGTTGTATCAGTTTTTGGAAGATTGGTTTGTATCATTTTGGTGGATGGAGAAGAGTACAGCTGGGGTTCTTGTTCACTCAGTGGAAGATCACCCTATTAATGAAAATAAGTAGCGGTTAAAAAAACAGCACCACAAAAAGAGGAAAAAAAGACAAATTATATTTGTAAGTATTAGTGTATACCCACCATTGTCATTTTGCCAGCATCACTACTGATCTGTGATTTTGATCTGAACTTTGATGAGGGAGTCGACAAGTGCAGAATCTCATTGTCCAGACTTCTCAGAGGGGTACGCTCACTGGATCGGCTGGAGAGCTACCATCAACAAAGGTTGAATTATCCATTAACTAATATGCTCAGAGATAACACTGTACAGTATGCACAACAGAATACAAAAGTCTTACCAAGCCTTCCCCTGTGGAACTTGAACTCCTGGAAGCCATTACTCTGAAGTTCTCAGAAAACTACGTTTACAACTGGAGGACAAAATCAGGAAGACAAAAGATTTCATATTTTTCCAGTTTTATTTAAATGCGGATTAATCTATTTGGCTGTAAAACCAATAGCTCCGCATTAAAATAGTTGGTTTTCCATGCGAGTGCTAAAACAGGGTCTTGCTCGTCATACTAAATTATGTGATTTCAAGGCAAGTTACGAAAGACAAACCCCAGTTCTCCTTGACTGCAAAACTTTCCGGAATTTAATCACGATCACGAGACTTCAACAGTTTGTATAAGACAAGTTAGTCGGAACTTTTTAAACATTTCGTTTGTGCAGAGAGAGTCTGTTAAGTTCAAATTAGCCCCATCATGACCCCTTGTGTGGATGTTGTCTTCTTGTTATGAAGGTTTCTTCCGGGGCAGAAACAAAAGGAAAGACGATTACAGCAAACAACCATGTTGCAGAGTTTAACTGTTGTTTTACGATAGACAATGTGAGAATGTTCTTTAAAATCCTGCACAGAGATCTGCTTGTCGTGTCAAACTAGCTGAGAAGCTCACATACTGACATGGCGTTACGTATTGGCCTAGTTGACAAGAATAGGCCATTTCAAGCATTAATTTAATAACTTCGAAAATCAATGTGAGAATTCACAGAATTCTAAAATTCACAGAAAGTGTTGCAAAGAGTGAATATTGCAAGGGCGTAAACTACAGTTTAAGAGACCGGTACCAGTCGATAGCCAACCGTAAATTGCACTCACTCTAGTTACTTCTAACAAAGGCACTTAATTAATAGCTTAGCTGTCCGAGGCAAACACCCTTAAATCATGTAAAAGTATTTTACCTTTTAAATTTTACCAGCTAACGTCAACCAGCGTTTTAACAGAGACGAGGACAGGGTAAACAAATCTTGTATTGAACTACCATCCACCGCGTTTGATTCAAAAACACGAATAGCAGCGCTGTTATTGGTCCATTTCTCTTCTTCGTTGGTTGAGAGAAGCACTAGATGGTTGAGATCTGTACCTTTACTCACTGCTGCCTCCTTCGGGAAAATAATGTAATTGCTACAGCATGTTCCTGTTACTGACAGAAAATTTACACTTTTATGTTGGCTCTTAAGTATCTTTGTTTTTTGTATTGTTTTGTTTTATGTCAGCGTTTTATTAAAACTTCGTGTCTGCATAAAAAAATAATATCTGACTCTTCAGTTATTTCCACTGCCTTCTTATATATTGCTTTACAAGCTGGAAGCCATGTAGTTACATGGAAAAATGACCCATAAATCACCCTTTTTTGGGAAACAAGTGTAGGAGCAGAGAGTGATACGTATGCTCCATGAGTCTGGACAATGACGCAGTTTTGTTTAGCTTTGGTGTCTACCAAACCAGCCATCCACCCAAACAATATTTCAGTTCTTCTTTTAGCTGCATCCCACCATCTGCCTAGCATCGTCTTCTGTGTCATCAACAATGACCGCTCTGCAGTCAGAGTCAAAATAAGCTTTATTGTCAAAGACCATATGTACAGTCATACAAAGGAATCTGAAACTGCAATGTTCCCATGGCCCTCAGTGTACACTAAAACAATATAAAGA